AGTGATTTTTCAAGTTGACCGTCTGTAGTAATAGTGCCGCGCACATATACCATCAGGACGTTACTGATGGGGTGCGGCTGCGGAGTGATACTGTGTGTATGCAAGTCCGCATCTAGGACGGATCTATGTATCATGGCTGTAGACCTGTTAAGTAATAAAGATACCTCATACAAAGGTCTACGGATACCTTATTACTCTCCATGACCTGCGGTCAACTATATAGCATAAATGACTGTGTTGCCAAATGTTTGATTTGTAGGTATTTTTCGGTGCGCTGTGTTTCTCTTTCTCCTCAACTTCCGTGTGTGTTGATAACTGAGACTCTCGTTCTCCGTAGTGGTGAAGCAAATATCAAAGATCGTCTCTGCTGAGCGTTGACAAAATAAGGGGATTTTATATGAATGAATCGTTTTTTTACCGAAGCAAAGACGCTACGCAATCGATGCATCGCGCGAATTCAACCCAAACTGTAGCCGATGTGCACTCTTTCAACCGGTGCACTCGCATCTTGAACGTTTATGCCGGTGCACCGATGCGAATCGGTGAATCTTAACATCTCTAATTCACATAGTTGATCTCTTATCTGGAACATACCTATCCAGATAAGAGACCATACTTATCTGGAACACATAACCTGCTCCGGAGCAGGTTATGTGTTCAGCATAATTTACCATGCCGAGTTACCCAGGTTAGAAGTGAACCAGCGTCGTAGTTCCGAAACCCAGAGTAAACCCTGAAGTTACCTCGCTAACCGCACATCCTGCTTCGTTGTACAGGCCTCATTTTGTCCTAGACACTGGGGTTAATTATTTTTAGATTATCCCTGGCTGCCAATTAGCTTTTGAAACCATATGGTGTTGATTTTCTGAAATATTTACCTTTTTTTTCTTTTTTAACCCTGCCTTTCCTGTTTGGCGACCTCCCCTCCCCCGTGTCTGCAGCTCGCCAACACTCCCAGGTCGGCGCGTTATGAAAGGGTTCTGGAGGCGCTAAACAACAACAACAGCCTGTAAGTTTGTACATAAAGTGCACAACTCTATCTTTTCCTTAACTACCATTTGTCTGGTTATTTTTTAGTCTTCTATACTTTTTGGTATCTACCTTTCATCACCCTCTCCCTGACTCTCTTCTAGGTTCATGTCGGGGAAGGAGGTAAAGAAAAAGAAGCACTTGTTCGGGCTGAGGATCCGTTTCCCTCCCGCTCCCCCCAACTCTGATGAGCCAACCAGCAGAGGGATGGACAGGGCTTCAAACGAGAGCTCCACAAAGGCCCTACCTGGCATGAGGTATAATGGGAAACCTACATTTCACATTAAATGTTGTAACAGTCAAGCTCTTTAATTTGACTGATGTGATGAAGTGAGAAAGAGATGCAACATTCTAAAAAGCAGCATTTTGATGCACCTTGTAATTTGTTTCATAATGCATGAAACAAATATTTTGTGTAATTTATAATATTTGTGAAACTGTTGGTGTTGCTCTAGACCTTGCGCTAGTTTTACCAATGGGACAGAGAAGAAGAAAAAGAAGAGGAAGAGAAAGCAAGGACCACAGCGCAGTGAGCTCTTCTCCCAAGTGAGTGCACTCATATATTTGTATACATTAGTGGGTGATAGCATGATGCGTACATAGTTGTTGTGAAACCACTTAAATATAAGAGAACCCACTAAACACAATTACAATATATTTTACTTTTCTTAAACAGGAAGTGAGAAAGCCTCTACCACTAGAACCCCACCCAATGGGTCACTTGACCTCTATCAAGTAAGTGAGCAATCATGTTGCAGAAGTGCTGTTCCTAAACATCCAGCTTCACTGTGTGGTTGTGAAGCTAATGTACCCTCTTAAAGGTGCCCGTTTTGTACTAAACCTCAACGATTTTTTTCTTTAAATATTCTCATAATCACATTTTTTGTCCATTCATTATCTCTCCTTAGACTGGTTAACAGACTATTAAGCCCTATTAATCAAAAGTGTCATTAAGCAGCATTTTTATTTTCTGTCTAAATCTTTTTTATCCACCCGTGTCTGTTCTCATTTCACCGTCCCCAAAACACCAGGAGTGAGATGTCTCTGCTGTCTTCAAGTACCTCAGATATGGAGTCCATAGAAGCCCTGAGCACCACAGAAACTACCTCAACTAGCATTTCAAGACAGTCCAGGTACGTCTACTATGCATTTGCTACATTTAACCGTTCCTCACTCTATTGGCCTGTGGAAGGGGAGATTTGGTATGCCTTTGAACCAAAGTCGTTGATCAACTGACAGAAAAATCTCAAGAACTATTGGATTGGTTGCCAGGATTTTGTATAAACAATTTTATTTCCCAGAAGAGGAATCCCAATGACTTTAAGGATCTCCTGACTATCCCTCTAGCAACCATGAAGTTTACATTGTGTTTTGAATAAAATGCGTAAAACTATTTTATGGATTTACATAAGATTTGGTACATACATTTATGATAAGCTGTTCTTTGTGTTTATGTACGCAAGCATGCTTCACACTCAAATGCTTGAAGAGGCCCTATTATCCTTTTGGGGTTTTCCCTTACCTGTAGTGTGTTGCAAAGGTTTTTGTGCATGTAAATGGTCTGCTAGGCTAAAATCCCCAAACATTTTTCATCCCCCATCCCTCAGAGGGGCTGAATGTAGGCAGTACGTGAAAAATAAAGAGCTTTTTGACATTAAAGCATGCAAATATGTCACAGAAGAGGCACAAACTACGAATATGATCCTGAAAATGAGCATAATAGGCCCCTTTTTAAGTAAGATTTAGAACAGTGGTTCTCAACTGGTGTGTCGCGACCCAAAAGTGTGTCGCGGACCCGTTTCGAGTGGGTCGCAGATGTGAGTGAAGAAAAAAGTCAAACTTTTATTTTGAAGGCCCGATTTTCTAACGCTGTGCATGCAGTAGGGCTGAACAATTAATCGATTTTAAATCGAAATCGCGATTTAAAATGATGCGATTATCAAATCGCAAAGCCTGCGATGTAAAAAAAAAAATCAGAAGTGCTGTGCTCCACATGTACCAGCCATTAACCAATCAGAAGTGGCCCATGATAGAAGGTGATACAGACAGATTGATGCAATCACCTGCCAAGTATTTTTGAAAGTGCCTGCCCTTTCCAAATGGCTTCCAATGGAGCTTTCCTAGATGGTTTGGTGAAACGAACCATCTGAGTCAGGTTAGTAATGCTCCATCACATGTATTACATCTATTACAGGTTGAATCTTAAACTGAAGCTTGACTTTAAAGCAACCCAACGGAAGTTTCATGTAAGTTTAGATCTTTCAATCGTAGCTCGGGCTGCGGGGGTGCTAGAGACGGAAGCATGTTGATGCGACCTTCCTAGCCGGAGATATGGCCGCATTTTACAATAAACTTCCTTTGGGTTGCTTAAAAACAAATCGCAATTAGATTATTTCCCCAAATCGTGCAGCCCTAGCATGCAGTTGGACTGGAAGTACCGGAGACCATAAACGGTTTTGAAAACTTCTGTCACGTAGTGATCATCTTCTCAATAAAACATCTTTGCTGATGTTTTGTCGAGTCTTCTGTCCAATCAGAATCAAGATTGTTGCCGGAAGTCCCCACGGAGAATAACTTTGCGGTAGAACTGTTCTTTATACATCCATGGGTACAACTTCAGATAAAAATGAACACATAATGAAATATGACCCCCGGTTTGATGATTGACAGGTCACAGAATTTAAAGTAATTCACACAGACTATCTCCTCTTTGCTCTTCTGTGGAGCAGCAAGCTGTCAGAACTAAGTGAAAAACAAACGATAGCATAAAATATTATTATGTCGGGTAGTAATACATTTATTTATTTTCTTCTCAGTGTATCAGAATGCATAGTTTGTTAGTATTTCAAAAAATCTCCTGGGGGAAAATCCCCCCAGACCCCTTTCTGGGGTTGGGTTTTCAGCATGTCTGCCTTTTTATGTTACACAGTTCAGCTTTGATTCCATCATCTCATTAAACCTTTTTTAAAAGCATTCTTTTGTTCTGTGTGGATATGCACTGCTGAAAAGCGTATATTACTGCACGATTTTTTGTTGAATAGATTTGAGTGGTTCAACATTTCGGGTCGCGATCTATTGAGTAAAGAAAACGTGGGTCCCGAGGCCTGACGAGTTGAGAACCACTGATTTAGAATATGCTTAACATTACTTGATCAACATCAGCAGGTTAGCCTTTATCTCTCCATCTATTCTTGTTTTTCTGTAATGCCCCTCTGTATACTTTGTTTTTGTAGTTGCACTCAGATAAAAAAATGTTACTTCAACTTTTCAGCCTCTGTAGCTCCAGCAAGCCGCGGCCCACAGCCTGTGCCATGCCCGTTTCCGCCCCACCCTTAAAGAGGAAACGCGGGCGGCCCCGACGGGCCCTGCAGCCCCCCAACCCAGAGACCCCCCCTCCTAGCCATGCAGAGCTAGACCCTGCAGCCACGGAGATGCCGAGCCCGCTGCCGGGGCTTCACTCCACTGACATAGTGCACGGCATGGACCCCAACAGCCAGCTGACCCACCTGAAGAGCTCCATCAGCAGCTACTTCGGAGCCGCGGGGCGGCTGGCCTGCGGGGAGAAATACAAAGTCCTGGCACGCCGGGTCACCCTGGATGGAAAGGTGCAGTACCTGGTGGAGTGGGAAGGAGTCACCGCCTCCTAGACTTCAGCATCTCTCCTCTGACCAGCGCCTGCAGGAGGGGTCAGCTGTGCTAAGGACATGTGAACACAGCCTGTATTCAGAGCATTAACTGACAAATGCCTTTGTTTAGTTTAGACGGGAGCAAGATGAGCTAACTGCCTACTGGTTCAGTGCACATTTCAACATGTGTTTAAAGGTTACAATTCTAGGATCGAGTCAGGGTACTGTCATTACATCACATTTGAAAGTTTACAGCGTCCCCCTTTATTCAGTCCAAAATAATTGATCAGTGCACTGCACCTTGCAGGCTTTCAGTGAATCGTTATTGTACTTAATTTCAAATCCAGTTATATGCTCTCCATTTCCATACCAGTTCAGTATCAACTATCTTTTTTTGCCAGAATGTAGTTAATCACTCGTTTAAAGGTTATAATCTTGGAGGAAGAGGGGACACTTTTCACACATTTTACTACTGCAAACAAGAAATGAACAATTATATTTGATGGTTAACATTGATTCTTTTACCATTTGGGTAAATAAAAACTTGTTCCCTTACAACAGCATCCCCTCCTGTAGTCGCGGCTACGAGTAGCGACTTGTTTCTTTGGGCCTTCAGTTGTGTTTTGGAAAGTGTTCAGGAGGAGCTCAAGACACAAGACATGTGCTGCTGCAAACGTTTTATTTTATATAGAAGTATACTACATTTTTTATTACCTTTTTCCTCTTGTGTTTTATAATATGCTTTTATTTCCATTCAGCATTTTCCTCATTTCAAAGTACAGATTGCATATAGAATTATAGTCTGTTATCTCATTTTGAACTGCTTATTTGAGCTGCAATGCCTCATCATTTTATCCACGGTAAAGCTCTTGAAATCCCTTTTTGATGTTGGTTGAATCTCCCAGTTAAAATTTAAATATAAGATTCTGTGCATAAATGGTGGCCAAAACCCAGAGGGCTTTGAGTAAATACTTTGTTATAAGATTTATTGTTTGAGAGGCTCCACTGCCTTAGTTTAACTGCGTAACCTTAAAACATGTTGATATTGATTCAAATGAATGTTGACTGAAATATTTAAGGACCTATTTAGTTTTTCTCCTCCTTTTTAATAAATTAATAAATGGCTGCATATCAAGAATGTTCACTCAGCTCCAAAACCTAGAGTTCAGAAATGGTTTGTTTTGTGCTGCCTATGCAAGTTAGTCCTGGATAAACATAGAACCATACTAAGAGGTGCATTATTGTTACGATTACTCTTGGATTTTTACATTTAATTCACCTACTAATTTATACACTCAGGATGTGCCCAAAAGCTATACTGTATTGCAAAAGCCTGCATTTGCAGCGCGATGGGGAAATATTCACTCTGTATTGTTGATCAGTGTTTTTACATCAGCTCCTCTGTTTGTAGTACAATACGTTGGACCGTATGTATGTAATCTTTTTCTTTCTTAGCTTTTTTCTGCTTGTTTAATCAGAGTCACAAAACAATCACTGGAAAACTAACATGCTGTGTCATTTCATGAGGTTCATATTCAGTTAAGCTGTCTTTATTTTTGAGATATTTTTTTGTTAACATGGACAGAGCTTTTTGACATTCATACCTCTTCTTTGTACGGATGTAGTCGGTGCATGTGGAGCTTCTCCTCTGTTCAGCCAGTGTCTCAGCCACAGACTGTTTAAAGAAACGTATACAGTCTCTGCTCTCATGTTGCTACCACTGGCTTCCAGCAGGCTTCTTTAGCCAAAGAATAATCATGTTACGTCTGCTTTGTCTCTTGAGATTCTTATTATTACATTTTTATACATGATTATATAGGTTGACATGTTACTTCTGAACCTGTTTAGTTAAAGGTTGAATAAAAGCCCATATTTTCAACTACTGTGTTGCGTACAAGATGTTTATTTACGAACTGTAGTTGATGTGTCAAAGCTTTTTAATTTATGCTGAAGAAACTAGAGAATGTAGAATTTAAACTGGATAAGGGATTTGTTAATACTGTTATGCAAGTACTATATTTCAAACACGCATGAAAGAAATACATTTCAAAAGGGAAATTAGAGTAATTGTATTACTTTCACTTTTGTTTCATATTACAAATTCAGTCTTCTCTTTCAACCTTAAAGTTATGTGTCCATCCAGATGATGATACCCATAATCTGTTTAATATCATTATTCTATGCAATATTACGGTGGCTGAGAAGTGCAAACGACAAAGTGTGAAACACTAACAAAGCTTGAGACACATTTACATTTTATAAAACAAAATTACATTAGCAAAACACTTTTACCAAAGAAGAAACAATTTAACATTAACAAAAACAAATTAACAAGATGCGAAACACTTTTACAAAGCTAGAGACACATTTATATTTTATAAAAACAAAATTACATTAGCGAAACACTTTTACAAAGCTAGAGACACATTTACATTTTATAAAACAAAATTACACTAGCGAAACACTTTTACCAAAGAAGAAACAATTTAACATTAACAAATTGATGTTAATTTGAATGACCTGGCC